TTTTGGTTCAGTTCTGGGTGGGAGTGCTTAGCAGTACTTAATACCACCAGCACTGAAGGTAACAAATATTATCCCTCTTTTCTATCATGAATGTGAATGATGGTCTGAAGGCTGAATGCAACATAAGAATTTACATGAGAAATGAGGCATGCAACATTTTTGAAAATATATTAGCCTAAAGTCTGTATTACTGCATATTTTATACCCTTTTTAATATGCTTCAAAAGATTTGAGCTATGAACTGAATGTTGCCAGAGAAGAACAAACAAGACCCAGGATATAAAAATAAATGCTGGGAGTCAAGTTTCCTCAAGATGCCCTTTATGGTTGGTGTTATGATGGCAGCACTACGTACACTGCTTTGCTTCAATCTCTCCTCATTAGCATTTCTCCTGCAAGCCTGGTTCTGTTGCATGTCTGGTTCTCCAGCAAGTTTATCCCAGGCAAAGTGTGCAGACATATTCATGAAGCAAAGTTGGTACTGGAGAAAGCATCCATGAACATCTTCTTCTGCCCCTGCCATTGGTTCCCTGTACCTTTGTCCATGCCAGAGACCTTCCCAATGGTTTTGAGAACATGGAGAAAACACATCTGCTTGACTACTTTCTCACTGGGAATTCAGCGTGTTTGAATCTTTTATTCTCAACATTTTCAGTATCCAAAATATATTTTGTAGGCATGGTCATATGACAATCTTAACTACTAGAATGTTTTACATTCTATGAACTTTATTCCATGCTACTAATATTCAGTAAAATGGACCTATGAAAATATTTACCCTGCTAAGATATTTTTTATTATTTCAATCCTTTCTACTTTTACAGTTTTTAAAAATTCTAAAACAAATTTATATCATTCCCATAATAAGGTACAAAAATCAACTTCATTTTTTCCAAGAACAGACCTGAGCCAAGTGTGGGTGTGTAAGGTGGAAATACATGGGGCATCACGTCTGTGAACAAGTGCCCATTGACTGTTCTGTGCCCAAAGACTTCCATGGGTCATGTACTGCATGTTGTCCAGAGAGTCACATGAAAATACCAGTTCCTAAGCCTCAGTCATGACAATTCAGTTAGATAAGATTGTGGCTCCGAAGTCTGCATTTTTAACAAATACTCCAAGTGAGTCTGAAACAGGCAATCCCCAGGCTACACTTGGAGAAACATTACTCTGACAGTCATTTTCTCACTGATGGGATGCCAAGGTCTCTGCCAAAGTCCACCCTTTTGCCCACCAACAGACCAGTCTCCCCCTTCACACCAGATTTGCTTCTCCAAGTAAGGTTCCTTCCCTTAGCCATCTTTCAAAGGCTCACTTTTTCATCTTTCACTTTTCCTCAGTCCTGAGAAGATAATAAATTAATATATTTGCATAACATCTCCTGTTAAAGTATTTTGTCATATAGATAACTGTTTCTTAGTTAAGTTCAATTGAGTGCCTACTATGAGAAAGAACAGAGTTCTTAAAGACAGGTAAGACCAGTCCCTACTCTCAAATAAGGATTTCTAGATTAGATGGCTCCTGCTTGTCTGTCACTGGGTGTGAATTTCTTCAACTAATCTCTGGTGATAAAGTACATGGCACAACTGAATGGATACCATGCTAGAAACACCATTTCTTAGCCAATTAGGACCTCTGGAAGAACTGATATTAGGATGAAGATTTATCTTTAACCACTTCCTTCCAAGAAATTTCTACATTGTTTTCTTCTTTCTAAGAGATGGTTCCATTTTTCTTCTAGAATCCTAAAGAAAGATTTTTCTTGGTACAAGTCATGTCTGAGGTACAAGTCATTTTCTTGGTACAAGTCATTTTCTTGGTACAAGTAATTCCTGTTAACCAGTCATTATTTTTTCCAGCTGTCAGACAATGTTTCACTTAGATATTATATCTGAGGCCTCATCTGAGTTTAGAAAAATAAGACTGTATATTTCAGAGGTAATCTGCCAGCTGTGCTTCTGAAAGTGTTACTAAGCCCTTGTGAAGAGTAAGAGGAGGAAAAGGGGGAGGGAAAAGAGGAGAAAAGAGGAGGAGCAATGACAACAACTGAATTTTTTTTTAAGCATCTCCTAAGTGCTAGACATAGAACTTAGGTTTACTAAGTATCTCACTTAACCCTCAAGACAGCCCTGATATATATATATATATATATATATATAGAGAGAGAGAGAGAGAGAGAGAGAGAGAGAG